ACTGGTGCCACATTATGGAAGAAGAAGAAAAAAAAAAACATTGCCTCCTAATGTGCATGTAATAAAAGACGACTAATTAGTGGTTTGCTCACATAAGATGTGTAGGGCCGAAAGGCACATACATGGCAGTCCAGCTGCCAACCACAACACAGCATACCAACCTTCCGTCTAAGCTGGAACGCAGAAGAAGAACATTGCAACTAGAGTTAACGGTCCTTATGTTTGCTGTGCAAACGACAACCAGGGAAGACAAACTGTGAAACTTGTCATAACGGGAACAATGTTGGTTCAGAGTTGCAGCTACATTTACTGTGTGCATTCTCCGGATAACTTTAGAGAACTAAAGCTTGATAGGAAATAGTCGTTGGTTGATGGGTGGGTTGTTAAGTCTAAGGAAGATTACAAGTTTCAGCTCTTACGACTGGTGTCCAGGCTCAGCAGACCCAACAACAAGAAAATACATGTGTGTGTGTGTGTCTGTGTGTCTGTGTGTGTGTGCGTGCGCGCGCCTTACACATTGTTTTTCGCAAAGCGAGAGTGAAAGGGGGGAGGGGGGAGGGGTGCTCTCAAGGAGCTTAATCCTAATTTGAGAGCACAATACAAATAACAATAATTATAATTATAATATGTTAAAATTAAACATAAATAATGTATAATAAATATAATAATAATATGAAATCTTAAACAAAAAGTGGTACCTCCGAATGCGTCCATAATCCACTCCAGATACTTAAACTTACACAACACAGGACGTATACCAAACGAAGTGTCCTGTAAGAAAAAGGGAATGATAAATCCGTTCCAGTCGTCCCCATGTATGATTCAAATTTTCATTCTGGCTTTTGCCGGGGGCCCTGAATATAACCGGGCCATAAATATGGCCTAACGGCTGAACGGGGTTTCTGGGACCACTCCACGGGTGATCCTAATCCTCATGGTGGCACTTTGTGTCACCGGATATTTAATGCTTGTGTGATGTCCTGGTGGTGTACAACTTACATACATACATACAGAAACAAAAATTCGTATTATTGTTGGTGTACTATACATGAATGGGGTTGTATACAATAAAGTACACACTTAATATTAAAACACATAAACACAAAAGCAGTTAGAGTGAACACATGCATGTTTAACCTCATTTTACTTTGCTGAGAATTGTCGAGTGATTACTAGGATGGTGCATAGAAGGGAAGCGGAGAAGATGTTACTGTTTGGAATACGGCATAGAAATCGGAGAGCCGGAGCCCGGAGAGGCAGGCAAAAAACGGAGCGTCTGGGACTCACAGAGCATGCTGAGAAAGGTGAAAACATGCATGCTTCGTGCAGAGTGGCAAGCATCACTTTAGAGGTCCCGGTTAGTTAGCATCCTTTGGATATTTTTTTATGGGATGCAGGTGTGTTGTGTAATGAGCAGGCAGATAGACTGGTTGAAGGATGAGACTGATTTACAATCAGACGGTTACTGGTACCATCGGAATTGGAACTGTTCGCTTACTGAGGAAGAAGAGGACTGAGCACTTATAGGAGTATCCCGAGTGCTGTGATGTCGATTGTTAATTTAACATTCAACATTCAGTTCCCCCTTCCAATAATAGTTAAGGAATATTAAATTCTTGTGATTTTCCTCTTTCTTTGACCTAAGTGAGGCCAATCAGGTTTGATTATAATACAGTTACATCTAAAAAATCTTTGCTTAGGGCGTCTCGTCGGTTTTTGTGTGTGTAAATGTGACGTTGTCTGGTCATTCCAGAAAGTGCTAGAACAGCTTGCTTGGGCTTCAATGGGGTGGCGCCTCTCTGCCAAGTATTTACAGATCTGTTACTATAACTAGTCGTCCCCTTGTGGGATGCAACTTTTCGTTTCTTTTAAAGTCCCACCATCGTTTTTGCCAGGGGCCGTAATATAGCCCGACCATAAATGTAGCCTAATGGCTGAACGCCGTTTCCGGAACTTCTCCACTGTTCATCCTCATCCGCATGGTGGCACTTTGCGTTATCGGGTGTTTATCGCTTGTGTGATGTCCTAGTTGGGTAAAATGTACTACTATCTCTACATATCTGTTTGGCAAAATTTTCCTTGATTAATGAAGAAAGGGCTTCCTCTAGCTTCTCCTCATCAGAGTTGAAGAGGACAAGTCGTACTCCATATAAAGATTGTATACCAACCAACAATTTTGGCGTCTGAACAGGACACATGCCAAGTTGGACTTATTTAAAAGCACAGGTTTACTGATGATACCTCTATATTTAGTACTGTTCTTTGGTCATGTGATGATAGGGGAGGCTATGGGAAATGTTGTAACTACTGGGAAGATCAGCGGTGGAAAAGGGAGAGGCAGACCAGGAGAAATGATGACGGATGGACTGCGACTGTGGCATGGAGGGATATCCTCGATGGAACTGATCCAGAGAACAAGAGTGCAGAGATATGTGGAGATGCATGAACGCCTACGCCAGTCGGCAGGGCACGTGATGATGATTACCTCTATATTTACTACTTTGCATTGTTCTTACTTGAAAGATCAGGAATGCCAACCACGTACTTTCAACACCTAACAAGAATGCCCTAGTACTATCTGCCACAGCGAGCCACACTAAAACGTTACAACGGGTATAGAGCGAGTGGAAGACCTCGGAAAACATGGAGTGATGGCATTAAGAACAGCCTTACAGAAATGAACATCAGTCTTAATAGTGCTCTTGACAGAGCTCATCAACGAACATTACATCTCCCCCCCCCCCCCCCCCCGACACTTCGATGAGGTACAAGGTGGAAGAGAAGAAGAAGAAGTACTTGAAAGAGCAGGAATGCCAACCACATACTTTTTACTGAAGCAAAAATGCCTGCACTTGTTGTGACATGTCTTCCGTATAGAGGACGGTCGCATTCCAAAGGATCTCTTGAATGGGGAACTGGTAACAAAGAAAAGACCTGCAGGAAGGCCAAAGCTACACTTTAAGGACATGTGCAAACGCGACCTGAAAGATATCAACATTGGCACAGACACTCGGGATAGACCAGCTGCAGGCCGACTTTTTGGAAGCAGACAGTGAATGACAAAGTGTCGGAGTTTGAACGAGGCCAAACGTAGCAAGCTTCCTAGTAATTCCCTACGTAATCTCGTAGCCCCGAGATGTGGTGAAAGAAGAACCACGCATAAAAATTTGCCACAGTCCCTTTAAACTTGTTCCCACCAAATGGGAACGACGAATAGATGACTGTTAGAAAGACAGATAGTCTTTCCCACGTTGCCTCTTAGCTGAAGCCAGCGTTCAAATGAATATATCACAGTAAGATGTTGAAAATACCATAATTTTGAATACAAGTTATATTCAACGTTTACATAAATATATCAATGTATACAGGCAGAAGTCGTTTTAATGCAAACATAGATAAGAAAGAACATAAAACGGTCAAGAAAGAACGTAACAATCAATTAGAAGCAGCAGCAAACACCGGCTATTTAGAAAGGTAAAGTCAGGAGATGTGAACCTGCGTCATTGCACACGGTTATAAACCAGAAGTGCTCTGCCACTAGTACGGACAGCTGATAAGAAACTGTCCGCCTGTGTCGCCGTCCGCACGCAACTCCGTAGCTACAGCAACGTTCCTCCATTTCGACTCTGGTACCCATTACCTAGAGGCTGGGTGAACCCTGGGAACCGCCCACTTTCGAACACCAGCCGTGGGCTGCAGCGAGTCGCAGCTGGATTTGAAAACGAGTCTCCTATCGACTGCCGTCCCCGGATATATGGAAAAAAAATAGATAAGCATAGACAGACACAATTAGGTTCCCAACCGATTCACAGATTCAGCTTACATGAATTAGCAGTCGTTTGTTGGGGGATTGGGGATAGAGTGTTGAATCATGGGAATACGACGACAGTTAAAAATACAAGTGATTTTGACACTAAGTCAACTTCAAAAGCTGGGAAACTTTCTGTTGTCGTCTCTCTGGTAACAGGTTGTCGCCCACTATCTTAGTTTTGTGTATTTGTCGTGCGCTTATCGGGTGGCTTGGGTGATAGATTTTTGCACTATTTTTTGCAGGTTTCAGCTGCACCATTTATCCAACTCTTTCTTGGTCTTTCTCCCACCTTCCTCTCAGATGTTCTGGTGTAAACAGTCTCATATACAGTTTGGCCTGGTTGCATTCTCACTAGATGGAACCATTTCATTCTTTGTATGTCAAAATAATCCAGGCATGGTCTTATTCCAACTTTCTCCCTTATGCTTGTATTCGTTACCCTGTCCCTTCTGAGGTTGTTAGTACCCTTACGAGATGGCACATTACACATGTAGTTCTGTTCTATTCTTGTGCAGTATTCATCACGGCACTTCAGTGGTGTTAAATTTAGGACAGTTTACATAAAACGACTGAAACATGCAAGCATTTGCGTTTTTGTAGGTCTGCAGTGTTGAATACACAACACCTATTATTTACCATTTGCATCAAGTGCCTTGCTGACTGGCTCGGGGAGTCCTAGCCACTTTCAAAACATCTAGGTTTGCTATTTTTGGCTGTCGAAGGAAAGTCTAGTCGAAGTTACCAGTCGTGATTATTGAAAATTGGTTTTATATGAAAAATTTAGTTGCATATCTTTTACAGGACTTTGCAGAAATAACTTAAGCACCCCCCCCCCCCCTCCTCCTCCTCTCCCCATCCCCACTTATAAGTTTACTAAAGAATTGTACGTAGAGTAGCTGACATTCCACTCAACAGTTGGTGTTCCGGAGCAAAGCAGGCTGCTGCCAAACCGCCGGCAGCTGGAATAGAACCTAGTATTTTTGAGTTGCGAAACGCGTTTCCAACGCCAAAACCATACATGCCATCACAACATCTTCTTCTTCTTGTTCTTCTTTTTCTCATAAAACACCTAGAATTTTTGACTATTCCACGAACTCATGGATTTCCTTTGCTTGTGGTTAATTAAAATTAAAGTGCCAAAAACAACTGTCATAATTTTTAAATTCTTTTTTATCTGTGTGTTT